CTACTTCACGATTTCTAAGACCACAAGCAAAGCCAACAACCCACTGGCATGGGTGGCAATGCTAGGAGCTTTTCAAAGTCCACTGTGATCTCTTCCTCTAGCCCTATCTCAGCAGGGGGTTCTGGACATCATTTTGGCTAACTCTGTGAGGAAAATCTAGGTTTGTGCCTGTACTACGATGCATTCATCTTTACATCTGGTTGCATGGATGGTGTGAATGTGGTAGCGGGTAACAGTGCTGGCATCTGGCACAAACCTAGATTGTGTTAGGAGCACCATGGTCTTCCTCTCTAGGCTCTTGACAGTTAAACAAAAAGGTCAGCTGCAGCCAGACATGGTGTTCAGTCCCTGCAGCTCCGGCACAAGGATGCTAAGGAAAGAGGTCACTGGAGCCAAGTGTGAGACTGGCAGAGGCAACAAGCAAGAGCCATCTCAGAGAGAAAGGGGGAAGATGGAGGTCTGCATAATGTACATCTGCAATAAATATTAAATACGTGTGGAGGGCCAGGGATGTATCTCGGTGGGCGGGGTGTCTGTCTAACAGGAACAAAGCCATGGGTTTGACTGCCAGACTGCACAGAGAAGATGTGGAGATACATGTCTGTAATCTCTGCACCTTGGAGGTGCAGACAGCAAGATAAGAAGTTCAAGGACATCCTCAACTATTTCCAGGACAGCCTGGGCCACATGAGACTTGGTCTCAAACCAAAACCAGGAAAACAAAGAGTTATGGTAATTTTTTAATTTATTTTTATTTATTATTTATTTATTTATTTATTTATTTATTTATTTATTTGGTTTTTCAAGACAGGGTTTTTCTCTTGTGTCTTTGGAGGCTGGAAATAGCTCTTATAGACCAGGCTGGTCTCAAACTCACAGAGATCCACCTGGCTCTGCCTCCCGAGTGCTAGGATTAAAGGTGTGTGCCACCACCTCCCGGCTTGAGTTAAGGTATTAAAAAAGAGGAAGAAAAGCATGTGGTTTTGCTACGTTGTGATATCAAGTATATTTATTTTAAAAATTGGTGCAGGCTTCCAAATGACTCCAGAGCTAAGACTCCACTATCATCCATCATTACAAGATAGACTCCAATGGTCCACTTTGGGTAGATGCCAGCAGCAGACTATAACCAGGTAAGACTAGCCTATAAGTCTGGGACACATACCTGAGACCTGATGGACTCTCAGTGAGGCTGTGTGGGAGGGGTCTGCACCTAACATAAGCACCGGACCTTTAAGATTTCTGCCTTGGGCAATCTCCCAAAACTACTCTCAACTCAAAGTCCAGAAGACTGTTACTGCTGCAAAGAAAACAAATGTCAACTAAAGCTAACTTCATTCTCTCTTACACAGGCTGGATACCCCTCCCTCTGCCCATCACCCTCCAATGCCTCCACGTCCCTCAATTCCTTCCCTGTGCTGGCTCATACCATCACAGTAACTAGTTTTCAGACGTTCACACATGCAAAGTTCAACAGGACATCTACATGACTCTAGAGGGTGTGTCACATAAGCATCCCAGAAATGTCTACTGCTGAACTCTGGCGCCCTGGTTTGTAGGCACAGGAGCACAGTGGTTAAAGCTCAAGAGAGGAAACAGATGGTCCAACAGTCTAGCTTATCACCTGTCCTAATTAGCTTTAGCTGTCTATTGGATATAGCCTACAGTCATCTGAGGGATTTCCCAGCAGATTGGCCCACGGGCATGTCTGTGAGGAAATGTCTTGATTGATGTGGAAGGGTCAAGCACTTGTGGGAGGGTGGGTCTGAGCTGTTTGAAAAAGCTACTGGAGCATGACCCAGAGCAAGCCAGCAAGCAGTGTCACTCCATGGCTTCTGCTCCAGGTTTTCCCCTTGAGTTCCTGTCCTAATTTCCAGTGATGGGTTATGACCTAGAATTGTAAGCAAAATGAACACTTTCCTTCCCAAGTTGCTTGTGGTCAGGGTGTTTTATCACAGTAACAGAAAGAAAACTACAACACAACTCAAATGTTAATAAAGCTTTAAAATGCTATGAAGAACCTGTTAACACCCTGTGGAGGTTACATTTGTCAACTGGACTAAACTACTTGGGTTAATAGAGTACACTTGTTATAGTATCTGGTAGTATTTCCAAAAACAAAGATCATGGGGGTTCTGACCCAGTGAACAGATTCTTCCCTTGGTGAGTTCATCAGGATGATGTTATTCCAAGAAGTAGGTTATTAAATACATCCTTGCTGTATCCTGCCCTGACCCCTTCCTGTATCCTCTCGCATCCTGCCACCATGATGTGAAATGCTCTGCCCTGGCAGCCCGCTCCAATATGACAGACTGACACCAGTTGAAACCCTGAGTTAAAATCAGCCCTGGGGCTTAAGAGATGGCTCAGTGGTTAAGAGCAGACACTGCTCATGCAGGGGGCCCAGGTTCTGTTCCCAGCATCCACATTCAGCAACTCATTACCACCTTAAGCCCAGCTCCAGGATCCACCACCTTCAGCCTCTGCAAACACCTGTTCTTGCTTGCAAACCCCTATACACCACAAAATACAGATAATAAAAAAAAAAAACTTTAAAAGGGAAGACTCTTCTGCCAAGTATTTTGCTATTGCAATAAGAAAGAAAAAAAAAATCTCCCCCATATACCTATCAATTGATTATGGCTGAAAAGTGGCTCACTGTTCCCGATCCCAGACAGGCCCAGGGCCACAACACTGCTAACATCACAGGCACAGGCTTCAGCTGCTTCCTGGCCCCCTCACTAAGCCTAACGTCCCCAGATCACAGCTATTAAGCATGCTGGATCTCCATGGGTTCTAACTGGGCTTGTGATCCTCCAAGGTTCTGTGTACAGAAAGTGCAAGGATCCAGAGGGAGCTAGGGCAGCCGTGGCCCAGAAGGAGGCATGCCTGGCTGCTAAAAATCCTGCTGAAGCAGCTCACTTCATGGCCACAGCAAACTGAAGCAATCTATCTTGTTTGTTTTACTAAGGACTGTAAATGGCAGACTACATTTCATATACCAGTCTTCACTTAAACAAAGATATGATTACTAATACCTTGAGACCTGTCTTTCTCCTAGCATGGTCCTAGGCAGCAGGCACATAAACTGAAAAAGCCCTTTTACTTACAAGGGGCTTAGAAGGCACCCTTTGTAACCCCAAGCTCAACAACAGATACACATGTGGAGAACAAACCAGAAGGTATATGCTTGGCTTGTGTGGCTTACAGGAGGATTAACTCTTCTGCTTCCTCCACCATCAAACTGTCCCCACCCAGTAACTTCCTCATCACGTGGTAATCACAGCACAGGGCACAGAGTCTTTTGTGGTGGGTTTTTGTGTGGTTTTTGTTTTTCATATTCAAAGCCAGGTATCCTAGGGAGAGCAGTAACCTGCAAACACCCCTAAGTCTAACTGCTGTCCATCATGATCAAAGGGACATGGGCAACTTAATCTCCTAGCCCTACCTCCTGAAGCCAGAAACTGATCTTGGGAAAATGTGACTTTAACTAGTTTATCTAGTAGTTTTACCTTAGAGACTCATGTCATCTATAAAACAAAAAACTTATATGAAGCTTAGGCCCCTTCTGACACAGATCTTCAAAGAAGAAAACCCACTCTCCAGAGCTGAGATGAGGAAAGCCTTCCTGAGTGTTCTCAAGTCAGTGCAATTACAGTCTTCACACTGGAGTTGGAGAGTCAGGAGGGCTTATCGATTTAAGCTACTAGAAAACATCCTTGAGGAGGCAAAACATCCTAGAACATAGGGAGCAAAAACTAAAGCTCAAGCAGCAGTAGGCAAAGCCACACAGGAAGGCTATTTTCACAACTTTGGGAACCCCATGATGCTGTTCAGATTTCTGCTGCCGATGCTCATCCTGACACAGGTTTGAAAGGCTACAACAAATTGGTCCTACAGACTCCCCCTGAGGCTCCAAACTGTTGGCTTTTTCTCTTTTCCACTTTTGTGTCTGTCTATGAATGTTTCCATGTATGTGGGTGCTGCATATGCCCGTGTAAAGGGCCACAGTTGATACAGGGATCATTCTAAATCTCACTGCCACCTTTATTCATTGAGACAGGGTTTCTCAATCAAACCCAGAGTTCACTGATATGGCTAGTCTTGCTGGTCAGCTTGCTCTGAAAAGGGCCATCTCAACCTTGCAAGGCTGGTATCACAAGCAGGCCGCCACACCTATCTGACATGTGTGCAGGCTGGGCATACAAACTCTGGTCATCTCACTTGCATGGCAAGTCCCTAACTGTTGATATTTTTTTTAAGGGGATAGAAGAGTTAACAAACACCACAGGGGCACAAGTCACATTTATGTTCACTATCAGGACTTGTGGCCAAGATGGCAGCCTCATTTGCCTAGTGGTACCATGGCAAAGGGAAAAACAGAAGAGCAAGTATGTAAGGAAGAAACTGTTGCATTATTTCTCAGACAGCTACTATACACCAATTACTGTGAGAGGTGCAAATGGGCAATCTTACTCAAAACTCACAATGACCCCAAGACATACTGGTTATCATCACTTTTCACATATCAGAAAGCCAACAGCAGTCACCGAGGAGTGGGGTCCCAGGCCATCAGTCTAGGCCTCCATCAGCATACTTCTCCACATAAGGCCATGAGCCCTACACTACCTGCCAAGAGCTAAGCGAAACAGAAAAAGGTCACAAAGGCCCCCAGAACCTACATAGAAAGGGAGAGTCAGCTTTGTGCCTCTCACAACCTTTCACAAATGTTCACACAATTGTATTACATGCAAACCTCTATGTCCAAGAAAACGGCCACACTATTAATTTGCTGATGACACTTATTGATCCTACTGTTTATCTATAAAGAAACAGATGTCTGTTGTGAAGTGCTCCCGGGAGGCATTGAGCGTGAAGAACTTCAGAGAGGGGACTCAATGGTATTCACCTCTCTCCAATAGGACCACCATCATCTCTCCAACAGGACCACGACAGAGTTTTCGCCATCATTACTCAGCAAATACCCTGGTTACTTGTTAATTACTCTTTAACCAAAGCCTAACAAAATGCTATTCCTTGTAACTTAGGACAGTAAATTTACAAAAGTAAATCAAGATAATGAAATGAAGTGACTGCATTCAGTAGATGAAGCATCATCAAATGCACACAAGTGTTTATGAGAGAAATGTTTGGGGTGCTACAAAATACTCCACGGGGAAATCATGGAGAAAAACAAGATTGGTAAAATCTGATAAATGGTGAAGCTCATTGATCCTACTGTTTATGGATGTTCAATGCACTGTCCTGTTTACTTCTATGTGTGTGCTCATAATTTTACACACATATATTGTTTAAAGAATAAGTCACCCAGATGAGCTGGTAAGTGAACTGGTTCTACAGTATCAATGAAAAGTGGAACTTTTCTACTAATATCAATGCAGACTTTGTAACCAGATAGCCGATTATTAGTTGCATGTACTTTTCCAATTGCTCAATTATTTTTGAGTCACCTGAATGAGTATCAAATGGAACCCATGACCCTGTGTGTGCTAAGCATTTACTCCACCCTCGTGAGACAGCCACAGCCCACCCTTGCAGGCTCTGGTCACTGCAGGCACACAGTGACTGTATTCCAATGAATATTTTAATGCAAAATCTCAAGAATATCCTCAGCAGGTTGTACCATCAAGGGCAAAACTGACTTTTGTTGCCCATTGTAATGCTTGGTGTTAAGAGGGCACAACTGCCAACCCTGGCATCAATCTAAACAGGGAAGGATAATCACACACCACATATTCTAGTGGGTCTATTCTCCTACTTTTACACACCCTAATTTGGACTCCTTGAAAATGCCTCCTGAGTACCGTAAGTGCAGTTCATATTCCCTTGTGGCATGTGCCTTTCAGGATGGAAATGTCTAAGGATTTACCCTTCTTCATAGGGAGGCACACATCCAAGCTTCCACACACCCCTCTCATATCAGACATGGCCACCCCCTTAAGACTATATCTAAATATACCCTATTTTCCAAAACCTAACTGGAACAATGAAATAAAGATTTTACTATAGGAGCAAATTTCTTCTACCCGTTGCCGGCTATACAAGCAAGACAGACATCTCTGGGGTGGGGCAGAATCAGAAGTTGTAGCTCTCTTGGGTAAGATGCAGTTAGTTTCTCCTGATCACTTCTCCTCTATCAGACTCTCTGGGAAATGGAACACTACTTGCCCATGGTGTTGGTCAACATCCATACCGAAGCCCTTCCTACCACCAATGTCTCAGATGTACTGGTGTTTCCAAACCAGTAAGCCAGTATATTAGCTGATAAGGATTTTTAATGCCTCACCCACTGCATGCTCCAAATCAAAAGAATATCTGAAACCCACAGAAGCTTAATTTTATGTTTGATCTCCCTGGAATCAGACCCACTCTGGAGCTGTTTTCTAGAGAGCGGGCCACACCTCTTGGGACTTCAGAAGAAGCACACACACCACTTACCTAGGAATGCAGGCTAGATATGAAATGAGTCTCCTGAGATCCTCCTGCCGTATTCTGTCGTGGTTGCTGCGGGCTGGGAAAGTTAAAATGGGACCTCCGCGCTTATCTCTACCACCTACGAAATAAACATCAGGAACACACTTAGGCAAGAACAGACAGGATGTTCTGCGTGCCCTCGCAAGTCCAGCAGCTTCACCCATCCACTCAGCCAGAACTGTAGCTAAACCTCCCGCACAGTCAGAAAGGACTTTACAAGCCAGAGTGTCAGCGTCCTCTTTGCCCACCTCGTGCTCTCGTGGGACTCAGGAAATTCCTGGGTTCTAAGGGGCGCCTGGAAGATGTCATAGATGGCCTTGTCTTTCTCGTCTGATACACAGGAGGAAACACTTTCTGTAGGTTTGGAGAGGTGGGTACTCGGGCACTCTGGTACCTGTGCTTTTATTTCCCTTAGCACCTTTTCCTCTCTTACTCCCCTATCTCTCTCTGGCTCTACCCTCTCTCTCTAGCTCCACTCTCTCTAGTCTCTCCCCCTTCTCTCACTTTCTTATTTTTTTTCTACCAAGGGAAATCTTATTCTCTACACCTTAAAGAGAAAACAAGAGTGCTCTTCAAATGCCACACTAGTGTCCAGCCTTGCACAGACCTGGATCTGCGGCATCTCACTGTGGTGGCCAGAGTTTTCTCATCACACTCTTCCCCTCCGGGCTCAGGGAGCTATACGCAAAAGGAGGCAGGAGGTGTAAGAGCCAGAGGTGGTGGATCTGAGGCAGACATAACTCACATAGACTGAAGCTGCACACTTAGCCCGGCTCAGATTCAAGCCCGATGGGTGCCAGCACTAAGAGGGGAAGTGGGCAAGGGATCCCACCCTAACCAAGAAGCTATCCACAACTGACATCCTTTGGCAAATGAAAAGTTAGTTTTTCCCAACTGGGTACATCAACCACAACCTAGGGAAGCCCTCAGGCCCAAGAATAGTTGGCCAACACAAGCTAAAATCCGTGGGATTTTTGTGGACTTTCTGTTTTGTTTTACACTGTTTGGCTTTTTTTAGAGGGGGGTCTTATTTGTCTTTTGCTTACTCATTTTGATTTTTGTTTATATGTGTGAGTGTGTGTGTGTGTGTGTGTGTGTGTGTGTGTGTGTGTGTGTGTGTGTGTGTGTTATACTGGGGGGGTCTTGGAGAGGATCTGGAAGGAATTGGGGTTAGGAAAAAACATGCCAAAATACACTGTATGAAAAAAATTTTCAATAAAAAAAGAACATACAGCAGGGTGTTGGCGCATGCCTTTAATCCCAGCACTCGGGATGTAGAGGCAGGTGGATCTCTGTGAGTTCGAGGCCAACCTGGTCTAAAGATCGAGTTTCTGGACAGGGTCCAAAGCCATACAGAGAAACCCTGTCTCAAAAAGACACATATCATGCTCATCATTCACACACAGATATAATAATAATAATAATAATAATAATAATAATAATAATAATAATAATAATAATAAATAAATAAAAATAATAAAATAAATAAATAAATCAAAAGAACATACAAACAAAATCAGAGGTGAGTAGAATTGTAAAGTAAAACCAGATTAGCATGAGGACTGGAGAAAAGTTGCAGCAAGAACAAGAAGACAACCACAGTGTTTGACCTTGACAGGATGGAGGCAGGGATTTTCCTTGCCTGGCTGGACACTGAGGCAAAACATCACATTTACTATATTATTTCCAACAAGGGTAGAAGCGCATAGAAAGAAAATTCAGCACTCCCAAGTGGATCCCTCATTCAGTTCTACAACTCTGATCATTCCTTTCTTGAAGCCACTGCAAGCAACTCTTACTATCAATTTGCTGTGTACCAGGGGAAAAAAAAAAAAAAAAAAAAAAAAAAAAAGATCAGAGGGCATGGCATATCTGGCTTATGATATCCTACAATGAATGTGCATTCATTCATTCTAATGGGTAATGAGACTTGATGAACACTGAACACTTAAACTGATGCACATGTACTGTTCAGTCACAGAAGTTACTTATAACAGAGATTGAATGGGAGCAACACCGATTCACAGACAGCACAACTCAAGGCGTCACAGTGTGGCTCCGGGGGGCTGTATATGCACTCCCTCATATTATCCTCACAAGGAGCCTGGCAATCTTCTGCCTCAGCCTGAGGTGGAGCTTCCCAGAGCGGAAATCAAGACAAAAGGACCACAAACGAGAACAATCCTTCACCGTGTGCTTTAGTCCTAGTTTAAAGTGGTGAAAAGTGCAGAAGGGTAGCTAAGCAGGGGTTTCCTGGGTCATACAGGAGCAACATCTATGAATGGAGGGTGACAGGGTACCCATCAGTAATAAGTCTTCTTTGAAAAATGTTCAGCATGTTTACAGTAACGCTAATAGCTACAGTTTTGGAAACGGCTCTTACCACTAAGACAGGACATATCACAGTTTAAAGTTTTTCATTTCCTAATGTCATTAAAGGTCTTTTCAAGATAGAGTGGGGAGGGGGCGGAGAGAAGGAGGAGGGAGTCAGTCTCCATAATCAAAAGTACCATTACTCCACATTTAATAACACATAAATAAGGTCTAATATTGATATGGTGAGGTTTTGAAGTTATTTTGCATAGATATACACCGGATACTTATAAATAAATGATATGACATCTAGAATAGATAACAAAACTATCCAGAGTAAGAGTGGAAGAGAGAAAGAAAGAGATTCTAAAGACAGTCTGGGAAGCTGGTTCCCATCCTCTTGCCCTCTGGATGCTTAGACATCATGATGAAGTTTTTAAGAGCCAGCTCCTAGAGCTGGAGATGCAGCTCAGAGGTACAGCGCCTTGTGAAGTGCCCTGAGTTCAATCGCTAGAATTGCAAGACAGTAATAACAAAACTAGACGTGCTCTTAATTACAGCAGTTGTCGAGGTCCACACTCTAGGATCCATGTGCAGCAGCTGACATTGCACATATGTAATTAGTGTCTCTCTCTCTCTCTCTCTCTCTCTCTCTCTCCCTCCCTCCCCCCCCCTCTCTCTCTCCAGAGAGGTCTGTGCTGCGACCTTGTCTAAATTCCCAAAACCTCAGCTAGTACTTACTGAGCCCAATATATGTATAAATTATGCTCTTCCTGTATAGTTCTCATAAAGTGTAATTTATAAATTTAGCAAAATAAGAAAGTACCGATAACTAGTAAAACAGTGAGACAAAGCCATGGCCCAATCAACACCTCTTCATTGACTCAGTCCCACTGTTCGTGCACTCAGTGGTGGTTTATGGAGATCAGCAATGTATTTCCTTCTGCTTCTGTCCAAGGCCAAGGTGCTGTGGGATTGAGCTCTCCAGTGAGGGATACATCCACCACCAGGAAGTAACCCTGCAAGCCACCTTCACCAAGGCCTTTATCTCAGGAGCCCTCATGGCCTAATTAACTCTGAGAAACATCCCACTATTAGTACCCTGCCTTTGCAGAGTGTCTTTCAATCTACCATCCCCTTGACTTACTTAAACATCACAGAGATGTACCATTTAATTTCACTTACCCATCCCATGTAAAAAAGTAACATGCTGCTGTCTTAAGAGCAATGTGGTCAAGTTCAATCAAGTTCAAGAAATTCTAACTGGTGTTTAGAGACATCAACCAAATAGGCATATCACAGTATCTCAGAAACACTCACCAAATCTGGCCCTCCTTTATTAAAGCCCTTCTAGCTCTAACTAGGTTCAACTAATAAAGGCTGTTCCATTCCTAGGGGGAACCTTTTACTTGGAAACTGGTCTCACTATGTAGACCAGGCTACCCTCAACCTTGTAATCTCTCTGTATGAACCCACCTCCTGAGCTTCCAGGAAGAGCAGAGTGGTGTAACAGAGGTCTCGATGCCCAGGAGCAGATGGGTAACTGGCTTTTCTCAGACCTAGATTCAGCATTACAGACAGATGGACCTGTGGAACTTCCTCAGGATTCTTCTTAGAATCTTAGTCCTCCAACTTCAAAACCAGTAGTTTACAAACTGGTGCAAGCCGTTATAGTATGGGGTTTGAGCCTAGATAAGTCACTACATAAGAGCACTTCTGTTTTTGTTATTGTTCTTTTGTAATTCTAGGGATTGGACCATTCTACCAATTACGAGATCTGCCACACAACACCAATTTATGGAGCGCTTTTGCAAAAGTGCCTAATGCAATATTCCCTAATATGTTACAAACTGAAGTCACAGAACAAAGTGATAGGTGATTTCTAGGGCAGAGGAAAGGAAGAAAGAGTTTTGTCTTTTTGAGAAATAAAAATTTTCTAGACGTAGACTATGGTAATGGTTGCACAACGTGTGGCTACACTAAAATCTACTTTTAAAAGTACTGTAATAGTACGCAAAGTTGTACCATAATTTAAAAAAAGATAAATGAAATTAGAAATAAAAATTATTTCTGAGAATCCATTCGTTCTTTGGAATATTTCCTAAAAATTACAGTGTAGGTAATCAATTTGTTTTTACAATTTCTCCCTCTTCCTTTCAAATACAAGATAACAATAGCCTAAAACTGTCACGTGAGCTCATGTGACCCAGCTAATTCCGGTCAGAAGCTGGGAAATACTGAGAGTGTGGCAACACCTCTTAACTGTGCTTTGCCTGCTGGTTAATGCTCTGCTGTCCTTAATAATTTAAAAGTCCTCTGTCCTCGTTATGGTCCCTACAAACCATCTCTCTCCATCAAAGTTCTAACCCTGCAGAATTAAACTTTCACTGAAGATTTAGGAGAGGCTCCTAAGACCAATGGTTCCATTTTTTTGATCAGTTAAAAGGCAAGAAGGTTTAGGTTTGACAGTAAGTCAAATAAAAATGCCACGGTAATAAACTCTGAATTAACTGACTAATAGAGGAATTAAGGTAAGTAAAACCCAGTAATCATCTTCATCCTCCTGTCTGTACGTGTCCACCTCCTGCACTTCCAGAAGGACAGAGAGGTGAAACTGAGGCCCCAGTGCCCAGGAGCAGGTGGGCAGTGGGCTTTCTTCTCAGACCGAAACCCTGCGGTTCAGACAGATGGACCTGAGGCACTTCCTCACAATACCTCTTGGAGTCAGAAGTGCAATCTTTCATTTACTCCAACTTTAAGACAAAGCCAATAGTTTACAAACTGGTATAAGCCATCACATAGAGTAACAGGAATGACTTGAGAAGAATAAATAAACACTACTTTCAAAACTCAGTGGATTGTAATCCATGGGTTTGTCTGCCTGTCTGTACCCAAGCATTTCCAACAACTTGAAGCCTCCTTTTGTGTGTATACTTTTTCACTCTTTACTAACCATGCAGATTTATTATAAATTAGATTTACTTCTCCAAAATCGACAGTCTTAAGAGCTAAAAGAGTGAGCAAAGACAAGATGAGCAAGAACGCCATGGAAGCGTTGTCTGAACACATACAGATCTAGGTCACCCAGAACCAAATGGTTATAGTGCTGTGAACTAAACCTGAGAGTCCACCACAGGCGACATCAGGTTGGCACAGCATGCTTGTTTTAGACAGTGGAAGGGGTACCAAGGATACAGCATTTAGGGGCACAGAGGAGTCTCACTCACATTCACTGTTACAGCCTTTTAAACCTGCACATAGATTCCAAGGAGGAACCACAAAAGCCAGAAGCACAGCCATCCCTATGGAGAGAGGAGAGTGGACATGGGCAAGGGGGCTGGGCTGTCAATCTCCACACTGTGCAGAGAGGGCTAGGAATGAAAGACAAGTGTCTTCTTAGGGAGAGGTATCAGTTGGTCAAATGGCCAGGAGTGACAGCCAGCTGAAGATGTGACATCTACCAACCCCAGGAATGGGAGTCCCTGAAGGAGAAGAGCTGGAGGGCACCAGCCTTCCCTTCCAGACGAGAGAATGAAGAGCCATACAGAACAAGACACTGAGGTTAAAAACTCCTGCGTGTGTCTACATGGTCACACTCCCAAGTGCTGGCATTAAGGTGTTTAACAAGCAGCTGTTCCACTTAAGAGCCCAGGCAAAGCGGCCAAGTGTTTGTAGAGTGACAGGCAGACACAGTTTGCTCACGAGTGTTAGCCTTGGGCATTCATTTTCAAGAATAACAAAGTTTTAGAAGTCCATGGAATGCCAATGTTTCTATGTGCTGTGGCAAGTGGGCTACTTCCATCAAGCTCTGAGCAATCAAGTAAAAAGGGCTGGAAGGTCAGATTTTACCTGAGAGATAGGCGACTTTTTCCTTCAGAATTGGCAAAACATCCATAGCTTTCATTTCATCATTTTTCCGAAACCCTGAAAGACACAGAGAAAAAACAGTCAGTGGACTGCCTGACTGACATGCAATGCCCATTCTACCCAGTGACAACACCTCAACATTCATCATAACCAATAAATTGATCAAGAAACACCACCGTGTGTGAACACATGAGACTCTGACCCAACATCTTCTTAATGGTCTTTACACTACCATAGACCGTATCCCAAATGACTCCCAGCCATGCTAGCAATAATGATTTGTTCCCAGATGGCACAACATGTAATCAGTCCCAATCATTTGCCAAATCCCCGTTTTAACCTTGTAAAAGTTAGACTGCTGAAGAAAACCGCAGCATTAGCAGCTTTTTTTAAGCTTGCAAGTCATAGCACAGTAAAGCCTCTAGGGGGAGCGCAAAGCCTCCTCTTCTTAGTCTTCCAAACCTGATTAGCAACAATCCTTGCCTGGAAAACAGAGTGGGCCATGCAGAACCCACACTGGCCAATGCTCCCTCCTGGCTCGCTCCTAAGCTTTTTTGGGTTGTATCCTGCAAAGGAATATCAATAGCTAAGGCAACCCATTGCTACTCCAACTTCTGAGGTGACCAAGGTCACTCACTAAAAATTAACTCTTCACCTTAGAAAATGTTTGAAAACCATGTAACAATTTTATGAGAAATCAGAACACAGCCTGCAACTTAAGATAAGTCAACCTCTAAGTAGAATGAACTGTGGCCCAAAGATTCTCAGCCCACCTAGGAATATGGGATAAAAGTTTTTCTTATTCATGGTCAGGCCTTAGGATACTGTCTTGAACTCTGTCGGAGGTAACCAGTCTAAGGCCAGATGTCTATTAGAAGTAGCACTTCATCTGCTATCACTAAGAGATACTCTGGGAAAAAAATAAGATAGCTTTCCCATCCCCATCTTTCTGGCTTTGCCAAATACCACAAGAAAAGGATCCAAAATGTTATCTTGGTTACCCATTTGGTGAAAGATGTAAATTTTATCCTGGCCACACAACTGGTGACAGATGTAGTCTAAGAAGCAAAAAGTATTAAATGGATGGATTTCTAGTGTGCATACTGACCCAGCCCTGATATATCACTATACACATGGACTCTTGTCAAGCCTATAGTCATACCAGTAATTCCAGAAGGATCCCCAGGTCAAGGCCACCCTGGGCTACATGTCAATTCTCTCTCAAAGCACTGGAGTGTAATCAGAGCTAGGGATGTGCACTTGGAAAAGGGAAATGGTGTTGAGCTCGCCTTTCTTTACTCTGACTGTTGGTGAGGACAAGGCCCAGTGCAAGCCTGCAGAGCTGTTAAAACAAGAACTAGTTGATACTCGGGGCTGCACTGAAGTCGCTGAAAGAAAAAGGGAAAATGGGGGGGTGGGGTGGGGAGAAGACTCAAACTAAGAATCAACTTCATTGGCCCAAGCTTCTAGCTTTTTCCTGAGCCTTGAACACAGGGGCAGGTTTTGAGTGGTTCTGAAAAATCAAACATTTGAGCCAGGCAGTGGCGCATATGTCTTTAATCCCAGCACTTAGGAGACAAGGACCAAGGCTCTGAAAGAACTTTCTGGCATAGCCCATCCAGGTACTGATAAACTTGTCCCAGGGCTCAGGTCTCCAGATCACCAGGCCACTTTACTTTCCAACACACCATTGCTGTGTGCTGGCAACCCACCAGACTGAGAAACAGCGCTCACTTTTAGAGGGCAAAACACCTGAGTCAAGAGTTCTGCAATTTCATCCTGGGTTTCTTCAAAAACTCTCAGATGAACTCAACCTCGTCTCAACATCCCTGTCTGTCACTGTGACTCACTACAGGGACTTGATTCCATGGGTGGGTGAAGATGGCAGAGCAGCAAATGCCAAAATGTCAGTCTGATGACCGCCCTCCAAGAGAAAATCCACACAGACTATAAACAAGACAGGTTATGAGAACTTTTATAAGCAGTAGGGGCCCATGAGAATGAGGAGAACTGCAGCTATAGACATAAAGGCGCCCAACAAGAGAAATTCCTTTCTACTGTTCAAGGAAGAGGATGAACACTTCCCAACACTCTCACAACCCGATGCTCACCCAGACCCATCCACATGACAAGACCCTCAAAGAAGTGAGCACCACCACCTGTGGTCCTCGGCTCTGCACTATAGAGCCGTGAGCGTCACATATCAATCGCAAAATCCCCAACAGAAGACTGCCCTCCACCCAGTACATCAGTAAGGGGCTGTGTGACTTGGGCCTTAAATCCAAACCTTTCTTGATGATGACCTTCTGAACGACATCTGTTTACTCATGCCATGATGGGTGGATAACACAAGCAAAGTTGCTGTATTCCAGGTACCACACAGGAAGAAAAACAATCTGATTCGATCTCAATATGCAGAAAGAAAAGCTCACTAGAAAACCTCAGCATCCTATGCTGCACTTCAAGCCACAGACTCACTCCCATATGACCTCATCAGTAGCTTCTCGGAGCTGCAGTTATTGAGTCTTATCAGTCTCCCAATTTCCCCGTCCAATTAAACAGAACTATTCCTGGGAGGAAAGGCAAGCAGGTCAGACAAACCATGTAAAGTGTGTTACATTTTACTGTTATGTATTCATGTGTCCAGACCCTGACTGGAACATCAGTTCCCAGCAGCTTTATTAAGATACCTGGTTGATTATTCCACAGTAAAAGGATACAGGGGAGGATTCAAGAAAGAGAAGAAATATAAAGGTTATTTATATTTAAAAAGAAATTATATTTATATTTGAAAAGAAATAATTAACCACACAAAGAAACTGAGTGTATGGATAATATGATGGTGGTTACTAAATTTCATGTCCAGGTTTTAAAACCCCACTCACTAAGTAGAAGATTCAGGAAGCATGAATAAACTTCTAAAACTGCATCAACTAGATCATGTAACTTAATAAAAAACAGAAAATGCTAACAACCTAACCACAAAAGCGCCTCTGATCAAAAAGGTAGGTTCTTGTCCATGCCCAGGAACTATTTATGAAAACAGAGTGTGCAGCTGTTTTAAAGTAAGTTTTCTTAGAAGTTAAAAATAGACGGCTTTCTGTTGCCCCACAGGTTCTAGACTACACCACTGAAAGACCCAGTTCCTAAAACTTCTTTGACTTGTGAATTGGAAGGGTTCCATGGCTGGACCCAATGACCTTCACCTGAAAGCATTTCCTCTTCCGGGACCACAGGGAAGTTATCCAGCAGCAAACACCATTTGTGGAGGTCCTCTAAGATCCCACACCACATCTCTGTGCCACAGCCCAGGAGGCAGCAACATTTTTACTTCTATAACCAAGAGGGTCTGCTGATGGATAAGAGGACCACACAGAGATATCTGGTAAAACTAGAAGAGGATGGAGATGAAGGGTGGACCGTAGACAGGGAAGGTCAACGGCCAAAACCAGAGGCATTTTGTTGTGCCAGTTTTTTTTGTTTTTTTTTTTTTTTTTTTTTTTTTTTTTTTTTGTTACATAAAACTTACACTAAAGCACCCAGAATGATAGAGAGGCCAGTGTAGAATTTAAAGAAACTCTAGTCTAGGAACAGTGATGCTTCCTAGACTAAATGACAAGCAACAAGTACTTTTTTAGTCGAGCCAACAATGAGTATGTTCAGAATGCTCACGATAGTGTCTGCAATCAGGATTTGATTATCAACAGAAATTGTGTATAAGCAGGGCTTGGGGAATTTCTTTCTAGCTTCAAGTTTATTCTCTCCCCCTCCCTTCTTCTCTAAATTTAAATACTTCAACATATTCATCTTAAGACAGCTCCACCCTGTCCAAGTGGATTCTGTTATGTATTTACAATGCGATCTGGCCAGGAGCAAGTCTAGTTCATGCTCCCCAGGCTCTCCTGTTTCTTAAAGTGAAAAAATATAGCTGGGCGTTGGAGGCACACACCTTTAATCCCAGCACGTGGGATGCATCTCTGTGAGTTCAAGGCCAGCCTGGTCTACAGAGCAAGTTCCAGGACAACCTCCAAAGCAATACAAAGAAACCCTGTCTCAAAACCCTCCCCCCCCAAAAAGTGACAAATATTACGATGTCCAGCAAACAGATATTCTCTGTCTTCCTCATTCAACCAACTTGTTTTGGACAGAACTAGGTGCAAAGTATTCAAAACCTCTAGGTGCTGGATGGAAATGAACAGACTAACTCCCTCCTGGTACTCTCCCAATGTCCCGCAGGACTTTCTATATTCAGTTCGTAAAATATCAGCTCTGTGTATTTAGCCTTCAATCATACTATGATTGCAAGTGTAAGAGAGAAAATTACCCTCTTCACCCTGGGAGGAAAATAGCCCACACTTACCATCTAGCAATGGGAAATCTTTCAGAGGAAGAGTGGGCTGGGACATCCACAACCTAACAGCCCAGCGGTTATCAGATCAACTGCCCACTTCAGGTCCTCAGACTCTGTGGTGAATGTCGAAGTGCTGCAGGGACAGAACCTTTCCCAGCTAGTCACTGAGAGTGCTCACACACTCAGTCACAACTGGGGCCTCCCATCTTCAATACCAACCAACAAACAAGGAACAACAGCCCTCCATCTTGTTCACTCGCAGCAGCACAGCACGGTGAGAGCTTATGAGGTTCGTTATCCCAGCAGCACTTTCCATGTAGGTCTGAACACAGATCTAAGCTAAAACTAATCCGATGAGTTAAAGAGTAAGTCAGCTTTTAAACTAAAACAGGTAACCCTCTCAGGACCTCTAGCAGACTTTAGTCGTTTTGAGTTGTACATAATGGTTTACCTAGCTAAATAATTTTTTTTGTTTAGTAAAACACGGTACTTAAAAACCCAATTTCTCCTCCACAGACAGCACTTCTAATGGAGTTACATCAGTGCCTTGTTCTGAATTATCTGCCATGTCGTGTCCACAAGCTGCTTCCTAGCCACCTCACAGGTCTCACTAGACTGTCAGCTAGCCTGTCTGCTACCCCATGTCACATTCTTATAAAAACGCAGGTTGTACCACAAATAAGACTAATAAATAAGGCAGTATGCT